GTGGGGGTTTCACAGAATGGGGCGCAGTCAGGCTCGCCAGCATAGCTGTGCAAGATGCCTTCTAAAGGAGCCTGCCGACGGCTCCCCAATCTCCGCGAAGGGAAAGCCAAACTTTTGCAGTCGGCGTGCAGCGGGGTGGGGGTGGGGGGGNGCAAGCGGAAGGGCGCAGCGTCCAGGACAGTGGGAAATGAGTGTCATTTCATAATTTTTGACCCCACTGGAGGCTCCATTTCGATTAAAACCCAGAGACCTGCGGGAATGTTTGTATTCCGAGCGTTTCCATGACACCTGCATACTTTTCAAATAACCCGCATCGCTCCCCTCTTCCCCCCGCGCGGGTCCGCAGGGAAGGAAGGGACGGCAGACGGGAGGGGAGACGGTGACTCACCCGGGTTTAAAGTTAATCCCCGGCGTCTGGAAAGGAAGGACGCTCGGACCCAGCGCTGGCTGGGAACCTGCGCTCTCCCGGCGGAGCCGCAGCAGGCTCCCCGCGGGCTCCAGACGCCGGCCCCGGGTCAGGCGCAGCCCGGGGCGCGCTGGTGGGTGCCTGCCGCCCCCCCTCCCGATTTCTTTCTGGACTGTTCCAGTCTTTCCCAGTGGGCTGCCCCCCACCCCATCCCCAGGTTAGCTACCCCCATATCCCAGCAATTCTCAGCCTCAGCGCCTAGGGAGGGGGAATCCTGGGACCAGGAGGGGGCACTAACTCCTGCTGGGGCGGGTGGCGGGTTGGAGGAAGGTCCTGCTCTAGTTCTCCCCAGAGCAGAAACGACTTCCAGGGGCTACAGGTGGGCTGCTCCCCCCCCCTTTCTTTATTGACTTAAACCCTAACCACCCAAAAGTGTTGATGGAAAGGACCCATGTGGAAAGGGGCAGATCGCATTTCCAGCTCAGAGTCGAGTCCTTTTGGCACTTCGTTTTCCCCTTTCCTTGCGACCTATTTACCTGTTTTAGTGCTTTTTTTTTTTTTTNTGCTTTTTTTTTTTTTTGGTCTGGGGCAGGAACGGAGGCGAAGCGAACCCCGGCGAGCCAGCGGCCCCCCAAGCCGGTGTCTCCAGGCTGCGCCCGGACGCCGCCCGCGCGGGCGCGAACCCGGGACCCTCGCCGAGAATGTAAACAAGCCGGGCGCGGAGCCCTTGATCTTGACTTAAACAGAGGCTTGTTTATCGGTGTCATCCTAGGGGGATTAATTAGATACATCTCTTCACAATTTGGCGTCTGACACTCCATCTCAGGAATGCCTTATCACAAGGTGTTAATTGGAGCCACTCAGCCACTAACGTTTCCATTAAACACTGTGAGGGACTTTTCACAAGTACCAGGTTCTTTTTACTGTGCGGTGCAGAAATTCACGGGACTCGGCCTAGACCGGGGCCAGCGTGGGCCTCCTCCCGGCGGCGACGAGCAGTTTGGGGTGCCCTGGAGCGCGGGACCAGGGAGCAGCGCCCCGAAATTCCAGGGCACCTCCCTACGCGCCGGGGCTCCTTGGGGACGCGAGGGGCTCGCGCCGGCCGGGTTAGGGGACCCCCCTCCCCGAGTCGGGAGGTCATCACGGAGGCAAACGTGACCGCTGTCACTCAGGGAGCTTTTTCCCGAATCTTGGAAAATCATTTTTATTTTGGTGACAGAAGGACGCCTGTGGTTGAAGCGGTAGCAGAAGTAACGTGAAACGCACTCTGTAATGAAAGCACAATAAATAGCTTTGCTTGTCCAAAACATATATATGTAAGAATAAAAAGAGTAAGTATACATACACCCAACTTCACAGCTTCCGCTTCCAGCTCGTGTGGAAACGCGGGCGGCTTTGGCAAGTCGTGTGGAACCTGCACCGTCGGGGACGCGAAGCTCGAGTCCCAGCGCCAAGGTCACGGGCGGCGCGGGGGGCGCACGGGCGCCCCGCGGGCGAGGGAGCGGGGAGCCGGGGGAGGCGAGGTCCGAGCTCCCCGCGGCCTCCTCTGGACGCGGGAGGGGTCCCGGCCCGGGCTCCCCCCGGCAGCTAATCCTCTTAGCGGCTGCATTTCCGCGCCGCGGTGGCAGAAAGACCCTCCGGGCCAGACCTTCGCCCCGGGAGGGCCCGGAGGGGGCGGG